AGTCTGGGCTCCACAGTGGCTGACTTTAGTTCTCCAATCGGAGTTCTGGGTAACAAATGTACATCAGTATCACTAAAATTAGCAACTTGAATTGGTACTCTTCCATTATCATCCACAGAGACATACGCTGCTCCCATGGAAACCCCATTCTGTAATTCAGCAACCCGAGCAACATTTCTCTCAAGTAAGGCATGATATGTTTGCCCTCTCTTTGCTGGCCTCACGGACCCTTGAATAACCTTAAGAGTGCGAGCAGGAATTAAAATTGGTTTCTTTCCAGCAACTCTCACATACATTACCTCGGTGTCAACCATTCTTGTCTCTTGGCTCAATGCTATTGACTGATAAAGTTCAAGTACATGTAAAAGTTTGCGCTCTTCTTCGTCTACTGATTGCATTAAAATTGGTACGAAATTATTGCCAAATTTGTTAACTAATTTCTGTCTTATGTCACGAAATACATTAGAACCAAGTACACCAGGGATCATCCTTTTGTGCTCTGCAATGGGTGTATTGACAGGATCACTGACAACCAAGAATCCTAAATTGTGGAATGTTTGTCCAAATACTGACAGTGGGAGCTCAACATAACCTAAATAGGGTACTTCCAAACCTTGGAAACCAGATATGCGGATGAAGGATGTTACATCTATTAACTGTCCTTCATGAGCGAAGTGCTTCTTGAAGAAGTCTTCTGTAACTGTAGACACCTGAGCACCAGTATCCAACAAACACCCGATTTCTGTCTGTCCCAACTTCACAGTAAGCTCTGGACAATGTCCCACAACTTTGTGTATTACTGAGCCTTCCGTTTCACATCCACCCACCACATGGCTCTCGGCAGTAGGCACTGATGAATATACAGCATATACACCTATAAATATATATCACCCAATACAAAAATATATACTATATCATAAACATTTTTAAAATGCTAGCTTAACGCTAACTCAGTCAGATATATATTTAACGCCTTCTTTGCCACAAATTCGTCTTCACTGGGCAAACTTCAACACTCAAACCATATTCTCACTTTCTTGAACATGTACTCACAGTATCTCCGTGACGTCGCTCCATAGTCGGGGTTGTTGATTGGAAATCCTGCCGACTACGCCAAATGTAACGCAGAAAATATGACACCAGGCAGATGTGAAGTCACCATGCATTCCTTTAATTTCCAATATGAGCAGCTATAAAAGTTAACACAACTGAAACCGAAAGTGAATTCATAAACGTGGAAAGTAGTTTGGGAAGTACTGCACGGGTTGTCGTCCCTCAGTGGTTTCAAAGCGATGTTCACGCCGCAAATCTCAGTGACCAACTGACTGGATGTCAAGTTGAGCACCACTGCGCATGCGCAAAGTAAATTACAAGGCTAATTAGAATGTGAATACATTTGACCTGTCACATCACTGACAAGGACATTGACATTATCGCACTGACTGAAACCTGGATGAAAGAAAATACTGATGAACATGTCATTATTGAATGCACTCCTAATGGATATTCCTTCAAGCATAATCCACGCAACACGTCATCTGGCGGTGGTATTGCACTCATCTACAAATCGTCATTGAAGTTATCTACCTATCCTATCACCAACATCAAATCATTTGAAGCTACAGAGGCTACGCTGATACATCAAGGAATCGCCCTCAAATTAGTCATCTTATATCGTCCACCACCTAGTGTTAAGAACAAACTCACTGTGTCACAGTTCCTCCTCGAATTTGGGGCCATGCTTGAGAAATATGGTTCATACATACATACAATGGTAATCTGTTTCATTGTTGGTGACTTTAATTTGCATATCGACGATCAACCTAATTCCACTACCATAAATTCACCAACATTATTGATCATGCAACTTTAAGCAGTGGGTCCATGACCCTACTCATATTCGCAGACATATACTGGACTTAGTTATCACAAACTCAGATGTCATTGACTCAATTTCCATCGACAGTCAAAGTCTTTCTGACCACAGACCAGTTCATGCACAACTGTTACTCCAGAAGCCACCACTCATAAGACGCCAAAACTCTTATCACTGCATATCATCAATTTCTTCTGCTGATTTCTCTAAGGACATTGCTACCATCCAGGATCTACATCAACAACCTGATTGAACTCTGCTGTTACTACTTACAATTCTGCTATCTCTTGTCTTCTCAATAAGTGTGCACCAATCAAGAAGTGCATCATCACTGTTCGTCCATACACCAAGTGGTATACTGCTGAATTAAACCAGGCAAAGAATCATCGTAGGGCCACAGAGCGAAAATGGCGAGAAACTAGGCTTGAAATCCATCATCAAATCTACAAAGACGCATGTCGCCATGTCAACAAGCTAATTCGCGATACCAAGTGCAATTACTACACCAACCGCATTAAAGAATGTGCCAATGACCAGAGCAAGCTATTTCGCACCATTTCTTCACTGTTCAGCAAATATATTGCTCTACCAACCCACACTTCCACCCATGAACTCACCAAACGTTTCAGTCAATATTTCACTACAAAGATCAAGGATATTCGCACCAACCTGGATACTACTGATATTAGTACTCAGTTCACCAATTTGCAAATTCATACTGCAACAACCCTGCCTTCACTCACCTCTGCCAATCCATCTGATATTCGTAAGCTCAACATGAAGTCACCTAACAAGTCATGCCTGCTGGATCCTCTTCCTACATCACTACTCAAGCCTTGTCTCGATTCATTGCTTCCATTTATATCAATGACTATTAATCTTTCTCTTCATTCCGGTGAAGTGCCAGCACTATTCAAGTCTGCAATGATCACAATACACTCAAGAACTATCGTCCTGTTTCAAACTTGCGTTTCTCTCCAAAGTCTTGGAGAGGATTGTTGCTTCTCTTACTGCAAACTTATTTCTGGAACCACTACAATCTGCACATGGAAAGTACCACAGCACTGAAACAGCTCTTCTGAAAATCCATAATGACTTTTGTTCTTTCATCGACTCTTGTAACTACGTGTTACTCTGTCTCCTGGATCTATCAGCTGCATTTGACACCATCGATCACAATATTCTGCTCAACAGACTGTCCAATATTGGTGTTACTGATATGGCTCTCTGGTTTGAATAATATCTTCGACCTCGATGTCAATCAGTTTATTTTCAAGTGTCACTAGTGAGCCATCTCAGCTTCACTTTGGGGTACCACAAGGCTCTGTACTTGGCCCTATTCTGTTCACCATCTATATTTCCCCCTTGGGTAAACTCATTCGTCAACACAACTTGTGTGCTTGATATTAAA